CCACAACCTTGGTGGGGGCCCGGGGGGAAACAAAAAAAACGGGCCCATAAAAAGGTCGTAAAAGGCCGCCCGGGGGCCCCCCGAAAAACCCGGGAAGTTTCCCCATGAACGTCCCATCCGTAAAAATGGGCGCTGGGAAAGCAGTTGGAATAGGGGGAAAAAATCCCAAACCCCCGGGGGGGGTTCTGGACCCCTTCGGTTTCTCGCCCCCCCAGGGGGATGGGCCCATGCCCGGCCCAAAGAAAACCCCCCCCCCCCCTTTCCCCCGGTTCCCCGGGGGGGCCCCCCGGCGGTTTTCCCCCCCCCCCCCACCCACGTCCGCCTGGCTCCGAAACCGAAACCGCGGAGACGCCGCCTGCCCCCCCCTCGCCCCCTCTGTGACATCGGCGGTGCCCCCCTCTACGGCATCCTCTCCCCAAGGTTGGCCACCTCGCGTTGCTCCACCACCACCACCAGCAGGGGGGGGATGCTGGCCAGCAGCTCCTTCGTCGCCACCGTCGACGACGCCACTTTCGCTTCTGCGAGACCCCCGGCGTGTTCGAGCGGGGAGCTCCGCGGAACGGGGGGGGGAGAGGTTAGTGGGGGGAGACGGGGACGTTCCCGTCGTTTCGGGCAGGTCGTGGTCCAGCTGCGCCACCGCCTCCCTGTTAGAGTCGAGCCAACTCCGGAACTTGGAGCACTGATCGTCCGACGTCAGGGTTTCGAAGGCTCGGGCCGTCTCCTGCTTTAGGGCGATCAAAATACGGCGAAAACGAATCACGGAAGGACGACGTTGGGTTGGTGGGCAGGCAGTGCGCGGAGCTAACATGGGTGTGGAGTGCGAACGGAAACCTCTTGGCTCTTTGTTGAGGCTTGAGCAAAACGAATCACGGAAGACGGTGTTGTGTATCGGGCTAGTGGGCAGTGCGCGGAGCTGACCATGGGATAAACCACGGGGCGTGCGGAGTGTGAACGGAAACCTCTTTTGAGGCTTGAGCGCGCGTCCATGAGCGACGGAAGCACCAAGCCCCCTCTCGTGGTACGACATAGCTTGAGCGCACGGCTCCACGCCACCACCACCACAGAGCCTCCAATCGAAACGCACCAACCCTGTGCTGAGGGTCCTGAGGGGATAGCATACATGCCCAAATAACCAACACTTTCCACCCTTATTTTTTCTTTTAACGTCGTTTGCACGCTCTGCGCCAGCACGGAGAAACGCGAGGTACCACACCATCATCATCTCCCGCAAGGGCCAGGCCGCGCACCGGCCTTGTTGTCCCTCACTTTCAAAATTGAGATATATTCAATACTTCCTTCCATGTACATATACAACGTCGCCCACTCCACCCCCCGCTTGCGGTAAGGGCGTGCTTTGACATTGAAAGCGACTTGTTTCAGCACGCGCCTTCAACTCTTGTACAGCTAGCGTTGGGAGTTAAGAACTTGGCAGTTAAGAACTTGGCAGTTAAGAACTTGAGCACCGATTGTGAGTCCGGCCAAGAACCCCTCAACAAAACCTAAATACCATATACCAGACAGTTGTAGCCCACAAGAGGGATTAACAGCCCCGCCTTGGCCACAATTAGAGGTTCTGAACTGCATTATTCAAGCCCCCTCCCCCCGTTTGCTTCCTTGCCTGCATGACCGGGTTCGACATTGAAAATGACATATTTCGGTACAGCACGCGCCTTCAAATCTGTGGACGTGTGCTATTCAAGCCCCCCCCCCCCCCATTCTTGCCTGCATGATCGGCATGTCCATCCGCCCCGGGATACGGAGTGCGCTTGAGACCTTGGAGAGGACCAACGCTGCCAGCAACTCGTCCCCCCACTGCAGGAACGAGGACGACCACACCACGCGGACAGGGACAAGAGCGCACGTACGGGCAAACAGCTCAATCGTGGTAGATATGCCGGTGGTGGTGGCGGCGGTAGGTGCATAGGGCGATGGCGCTCAGGCGTAAGCGATATACTGTACAGCGGTGCGGCGGGCCTGCAGCCAAGAAAAATGCCGTAAAAGAAGAAAAATAAGGCTCGAATGTAAACGCGAAAAATGACGACAAAGCTGGGCCAACCGCCCGGCTGGCTCAGCCGAGGATCCTACTCCAAAATGAATGCAATTACGACAGCCTTTTATATCGACGGTGGTAATGAGCTACTGGTAAGAAATTCAGTCTCGACATCCGAAAATGGCGTTTCGTGTTTACGGGTACCTACCGTTCGGCTGTTGAGCTCGCCAACGCTAAGATAACGATCACCGTCGCCTTGTTGTTGTATGAAGGCGGGTTTCGGATACTTCGGGGTGCGGCAAAAATTCGTATATCTGTATACAGCCGTGCCGTAAGTGTGAAAACGTATACGGCAGGTGACCTACTAGCATACCACACCGCCTGGACCGATTGTCGGAGCTCGGTCGAAGAGGATGTGCACAAAGCAAACGATACGTTTTCAGGAGGCTCTGGACGAGACGGTTCCAACACGGCCGTTGTCGGCAACACCACTGCTGTTTCTGCTGTGGAGAAATCCATCTTTGAAAATCGGTCCAGGGGGGGAGGGGTGATATTGTGCGTGACCTGGCGTTACCTGGTCGGAGGACGCCGCTAGCGCTAACGCTTGGCTTTCGGTTAATCTCACCGCCTGTCGGAACAAGATTCGGCGGAGAGCAGGAAGGACGGGGGCGGGAGGAAGGGCAGACGCAGACGGTGTGTCACTCATGGCCTTTAGTACAACCACGCTTATAGGCCGTCCGTCACCTTGCCAAGCACACCTTCAACAATGAACAAACAACCATCCCATACTCTTCACCCACAATGCGACGATGTGTGTACAGTACTTCTAAACAAATCAGTCGCATCCGCGGTTGCACCAGTAACACTAATCATGTCAGTGACATCACGCATGCTGTTCGTCCGACTTTCGTGCCTGTGAAAATATGTCATGGGGGTCGGTTCCTCCGAGCGGGCATGAATGCCGCTGGCCACGGTACTTGAAAGCTAAACCAGAGAACAAAAACGACCGCCAGCTTGGTCTCAAGCGAGTGCATCCTCGCCTGACTTGTCCCCTCCCATGCAAGAGCCGCCACCGTTCATGCTTCCCCACAAACACGGTCGTAAACACAAACGACACGAAAGCGCAGAAATTCCCCCTTGGCGAAACAACAACTCACAAGGTGTAGAAACCCACAGACCGTTGGCACGAGACAAACAAAAAAACAAACTCTCCATACAGAACTAACTGTCCCCGTTATTTTACACTTGCGCTAATAGCAGGCCGGACCTACATGTGCTCTTCGTGCGTCACGAGACACAGCGGCAGTGGTCGGTCACCAGGCCGTCTTTCCCACCTCTTGGCTCTTGTGAACAGTCTCACCTCCTGGAGGCTCCGCGCCCGCTCTTCCTCCCAGTGCGACCCCGCCCCTTTCCCAGCGTCGGGGCCCCTCGGTCCCCCTTCCTCAGCCGCCGCTCCGGCAGTCGCCGCTGCCACGTCCATCACCATCCGCATCTCTTCTTCTTTCACCGCAGCAGCAGCAGCAGCAGCAGCAGCAGCAGCTCTTCTCGAAGAGGTTCCCCCTCCCCCGTCCCCCGCGGTGGCCGCTTCCTCGTTAACGCCGGCGCCTTCTTCCGGTTTGACATTACCATAGGCACGATCGTCGCCGCCGGCTGCTGCGCTTTCACCACCCTCTCCGGCCGGTGCTGCTGCGCCGTCTCCGCTCGGAATGGCGCCGATTGTGGCCGAAGAGGACGCCGGGCCGTCCACGGACACGTCTAGGACATCCCACCAGTCGCTGGAGTCAGGGCTGTCCATCGGCGCCAGCGGGGACTGGGACCGAGGGAGGTCGGAAGCGCTGTGGTTGTTGCTGCTGCTGCTGTTGTCTATTTTGCCGCTGCTGGTGGGGGTTACAAGTCAGCGGGCCGGCGGGGGGGGGGGGGTATTCATGTTTCGTATGCCCTACTTCGAAGTAGTTGTTAGACCATTGACCAGGGTCCTCGAGAACACGGAGCGTTGTTCCCGCAGGACCGATCACCGACGAGGCGGGCCGAGCGGGGGAGGGTGTACTCATGTTTTGGCGGCCGTGGTTGTAAGAACACTGATGGCGGGGTTGGTCACTCATGTAAACTCATGCCGTAGTCGGCAGACCATAGATCTAGCATGCCGGGACGGAGTGATACGCCGAGTTTTCGCCGGCAGAGGCCACGTTTCACAAGACAAAGAACCAACAAGTTGGTCACTATCGTTGCGTTTTTCTGGGGGGGAGGGAGGGGGGGAGTCCATTAGGACTCTGCTCCCCTGAGCCGGACATTGTGTGGGTGCTTCCGTTGGCCCGGTGTCCCCTACCTACCATTGAGACCGCGTAGAAAAAAAAACAACTAGAGAACGAATGCCAAGTTTTGGGACATCCCCTTAAACACTCTTGTGATTTTCGATCTTGAACGGGAAAACGCTACTGCTGTATCGGCAGTAGAGGGCGCATACGCTTATCCCACACCGTTCAGGGAGCAGCGATACCTGGAACAAGCAGTCTTTTGCGGCGTACAGCAGGATAAAAATATTCCAAAAAAACGGCAGAAAAAAAGAAAAAAACGGCAACGCATTCGAGGCATCAATCTGCAGATCAATGCATGCTACACAAGATTCCAACGAAACAAAAAGGCGGCGCATCAATCCACGGAGACATGACAACTCACTAGTTTCGTACAGCGGCGGTGACCCCGCCACTCCCCAGAGAGGCCGGCCAACCCCCCCCCCCAACAACATCACAAGTATTGCACGTATACAGGAAGAAGTTCGCATGCCAGCTGGATCTCCGGAAATTT